AAGGCAAAGAGGCCGAAGAGAAAAAACCTCTAAAAAAAAAAAAAAAAAAAACAAACCAAATACAATAGCAGACATTCTTGAGAAATGGAGTTTTATTTATTTATTTTAATTAATTTATTTGTTTATTTTCAGTTTGATCAGAGAAAGAAGGAAGTGAGAAAGCAAGCCACCAGGTCCAGGACTCGAACAATGATCGCCGATGTGGGACTGCAGTGCCTTTAACAGCCACATCACCTGTTGGCCCCCTGAGAAATCAAGTTTTAACCTGAGGACATGACTGCAACTCCAGGTAGAGACGGACAGAACCAATATGAAACACGGGGGAGCCAGCTAGTGTCCAGCAGAAATATGGTTCTTGGTTGGGAGGAAACGGCAATGCTTTCTTGACTATAGCCAAAGCATTCTGTGCTGGGTGGTGTGTGAGAGCAGGGGGAACACTGCGTTTGCCTTTGGCTAACAGGCCTGGACAAGCACACTGTCTCCATCTCTGTCTCCAGAGATGACTGCGAAGGTCCAGCCATCATGACACTGGGGCCTGCATGCTGATCTTCCAGAGAAAGGAGCATCTGCTGGAATCAAAAGGAGAAACCCTTACACGACCCTTCCCAGTGCTCAGAGCCACGGAAGCAGAGTTCACGTAAGCCAGGAGACAGTGCTGCCCACCACGGCTGCCAGCAGGGGGTTTTTTTGTTCCCGAACACTATTTACTGGTGTTGCTTCTGACGCTTACCTCGGCTCTTACCTGTGACCAGCCCTTGGGTCCACTCCCGTCCACCGGGTACCTCCGGTCGCTGCACACGGCTCTCTGCAGTCCAGGGCTCCTCCCCTTGTTCCAGCATGGAGATAACGGTCACATCGGGAGGAGAGGTTCCTGCTTAGAAGAGGGAAGGAGCATGACACGCGAGCCTTTCCAGAACCGCAGCCCGATGTTTACGTGGGAAAGGACGTGATACGTGGTTCTGGACAGACATTTCACAAACGTATCCGCTGATCGCTTCCTGTCAGTGCTCAGGGATTCGGGTAAAGTGCAGACATCACGGTGTCTGTGCGGAAGCTGAATCGAATCTCGGAGGTAGAAAAAGGATGTGGACATCCCAGAAGTCCGCCATGAGGCGTTCTGCATACTTGAGGTTTGGAACTACCACAGACAGATCAGGAAGGGGCAGAACGCTTGAAGAACAGGAAGCTCTCCTACTGCGAATCACCAGGGCTTCGGTGCTCTCAAGTAGTGCAGCGACCCAGAAGAGGAACACACAAGAAAGTGCAAGACACACGAGGGCAGATCCCGACTTCTGGGGAAAAGTCGTCCTCACCCACGGACACCAGGTTCCTGTAGTTCTCCAACATCACCTCCCTGTACAAAGCCCTCTGAGCAGGGTCCAGGCGTTTCCACTCTGTCTTAGAGAACTCTATGGCCACGTCCTTGAATGTCACCTGTTCCTAAAATTAAAACACATCTCCTCAGGGGTATCAGAACTGTGCTTATCTTCAAACAAAGTGTAAAAAGGAGAGAGTGTGAATGATCAGTACAGTGGATGTAAGTGATAAGACAGATCCACGTGAAAATATGTGAGCGGATATGTCTCCTAACCAACTTTCATTACAATTTACACACGAGGAAAGGATACCTTGTCAGTCTATGTAGATAATATGAGAAACCAACAAAATACCAACCTAGGATTACCTTTATAAGAGTCCGAGGTTATATGTTCAATATGGCAAGTACTATTCTGTAGGGACAAGTTCGGAGAGAGGCCCTGAGGTGTGGGGACACACTCTGAGCAAGCACTAACTGCCCCTTTGGGCTATGGCAGAACCTTGCAGCTTGTCCTTTCCTTGACCCTCGCTGCAGGCAGAGCCAGGGCGGCAATTCCCGGGGGGCGTCCCAGCAGACACACCTGAAGGACTTCAGGGAACACCCTGCCCCCCACTAGCAAAGTCCAGGCCCTGCTCTGCCTCTGTGAGATTCTCTAGCCTTCTCTGGGCGTGGTGGTGCCCGCCTTATGGAGAGATTCCTTAGCCTTATGTTTCTTCCCCACACCTGAGCTAGGCTTGTCTCCATCAGAAAAGAAGACGATGGGATTCCTCCATGATGAGATTATCATCAGGGAATACACACAGATACACCCGGTTTAGCATGTCTAAGCTCTTATCGATCAGTTACCTGCTTCTTATTGTCTGTAACCTGGCAACGAATCAATGAAATGTCATAAAATACACATATGTAGTGTTGCCTTGCACGATAAATGTAGGTGCCCAGTTTGTCTGGGTGACACAAGTTGTGGCACAAGTTGCTTGGGTTACCTAGGCTCTGGCTGCCCGCGTTCCCTTCTACTCTGTCTCATTCTTTCCGATTCCCCGGTCCTCTCGAGGTGAAGGGCTTCCTTTTTCTCTTCCTCAACATCAGCCCCCTCATCATGATTCAGCTTGAGCCAAGCCCGGGGGCAGATGCCCACAATATTCAGTATCTAAATAAGCAAGGGGGAGGCTGACAGGTGGCATGGTGGCTGAGGGTGCTGGACTCCATGTGACCAACTGCAGTTTGAGTCCCGGACCTGGCATGCATGTGCATGTATGCATGCAGGCCAAAAATCCCAAGAAGAGAATGGAGAAGGGATGGCAGCATGGCCATTCCCCCTGGGGGTTGATTTCTCGCTGTCTCTCTGTCTGTTTATCTGGCAAGCACAAACGCTCTATAGCAAAACTCTCTAAAAGAAAGGGGAAAACAAATTATTATACACTGAGTTATTCAAAAAATAGTGTAACTTGGAGCCCACAGGTGGCATGGAGGTTAAGGAGGCTGAATCCCCCACATGGCTGAATGTGCAGTTGAGTCCTAAACACAGAGACTAAAACCTCCCCTGAGCATCTGTGGGCGTGCCCAAAATTCCGCAAAGAGAATGGAGAGAAGATCGCGGCCTGGTCATCCGTTTTAAGGGATGATTTCACATTTTCTCTCACTCTCATTCTGTCTTTCTCTAGTGAAAAAAGAAAAAAAAAGGAAAACAGTACAACACAGATGAACATAACTCCAGTCTAAATTAAATATCCGTATTCTACATACAAATAGACACTATTCCCTTCAGTGTCTACACAAAACTCAGTGGACTTTCTAAGTGTCTCTCACTAGGAAAACTATGATATGGGCCAGCTCTATAGCCAGGTGGTTGAGGCAGCCAGATCCCAATTACAGACCACCGCGATGGTGGCCTGGGTGGCCACTCCAGGTCTGTTTGTGCGTTTCCAAAATCTAACAGGAGGAGGAGAAACTGACGTGTGATAACATCACAATGCAATAATACAACAAAACCATCACTGAAAAGTTCCTCAAGAATTGACCAATGACGAATAAATACATTTCCACAGTGCATGCCACGACTCAGCCACAGCACATGCCACGACTCAGCCACAGCACATGCCACGACTCAGCCACAGCACATGCCATGACTCAGCCAGAAAAGAGACAAAAGCGGTTCCCCACTGACTAAGGCAGAGGGGAAATGTCAACAGGAAAGACATGACTTGTGTTTTTAGAACTATGCTACATGTTTGTTTGGAGTTTTTTCTTTTTCTATCTTTTTGGAGAGGTTTTTGCTATAGGGCGCATGAGTTCGCCAGAAAGACAGAGAGAGACAGAGAGACAGAAAGCGAGAAATCAGACCCCACCGGGGATGGCCACATCGCAATCCCTTCTCCTCCATTCCCCTCTCAGGATCTTGGGCATGCACGCACACATGCCCGGTGTGAGTTTAAGCCACCGGGTCCGTGACTGAAACTGTAGTCGGCTACATGGGAATCCAGCAACATAGCCATCAGTCTAACTGCTGGTCCCTCTGGAGTTTTAACATAAAACAAATACACAGAGTGTGATTTGAAAATAAACACAGACATTCACAAGAAATTGGTGAGACAAGAATCCTGCTCCAACCTCATTATTTACACAGAAGTTCTACTCCCAATACTGAATAAATATATAACCATTTTTGCCTAAAACACCTGGGGTAAAAAGTCCCTGCAGAATTGCACAGTCTCAAGGACATGGCTGTGCAGACAAAAATTTAATGAGTCTCCCGCTGTCAGGTATTGAAGCTGACCTGATATTTGGCAATGGGTGATCACTAAAACCACCTCTAACACTGACCTTGCGTCTGCACTCCCCGTGCACTTCCCAGTCCTGGAACTCTAAGTCCAGACACATGCAGGCTCGTTGCTGAGCTTCAAACACGGCACAAGATCAGGCAGAACGCCCCTGCCACTGAGAGTCTCCTCCCCTCACATTTCCAGGTGTCCGTGAACATTCCTGCCCGTCTTCAGGGGCAGCTTCTCCAGCCCTGCCCGACAGCTGGCAGTGAGTGCAGACGTGCCCACGCACTCCCGGCTGCCAACAGCACTCACACCGTGGAGGCCATCCCCGACTCCAAGCCAGGTCTGGGTGACCCTCCCCAGGGTGTGCCCACAGAGCCTTCACAGGGTCCCCACCACTGGTCACAGAGGGATGGAATCTAAGAGATGAGAGGGACTGAGGGAGGCCGGGGTGAGCGTCAGCATACCTAGCAGGAGGGCCCTTCAGGTCAGAGAAGGTGAGCGGCTCTAATAGCCGCACTTTGGGAAGGAAGGAGACAGGACGATCCACCAGGAATATTCATTTACCTGAGGAGGAGCCATGTCTGAGTCCTCTGAGGTCCTCTTCCTTTTCCTCCTCCTCTTCCTGGGCTTTATTTCCAGTACAGGAACTGAGAGACTACAGGAGTCAATCTTGAACACTAAAAATAAGCAGTTTGGGGAGTAGCAGTTAGCGTAATGGCTATGTTGCTGAACTTCCAAGTAGCCAATCATGGTTCCATACCTAGCAGGAGGGCCCTTCAGTCAGAGAAGGTGAGCAGCTCCAATGGCCGCATTTCAGGAAGGAGACAAGATGATCCACCAGGAATATCCATTTACCTGAGGAGGAGCCATGCCTGAGTCCTCTGAGGTCCTCCTGTTCTTCCTTCTCCTCCTCTTCCTGGGCTTCATCTCCAGTACAGGAACTGTGAGTCTTCAGGAGTCAACCCTGAACATTAAAACACACTGTTTGGGGCCGGCAGGTGACGGGGTGTTGAGCTGGACTCCCACATGGCCAACCATGGCTATAGTCCTGGACCTGGTGGCTTGCTTTCTCACTTTCCCTCACTCTCTCTCTCTCTGTCCCTCTTTAGTCACATTAAAATAAATAAACTTAAATAAAATCATTCTTTGGGGGAAAAAAGTACTGTTTATTGTCAGACTCAACACGCCCCTTCCTGTGTCACAGTCACAGAGAAAAGCCCTCCCCACAGGACAGAGGGGAATGCAAGGGGAATGCCCACACAGCAAGGGAATGCAACAACCACCTCCTACACCAAGGCCAGCCCGGGCATCCTGCCTCAGCTCCTCAGAGCTCGCTCCTGCAGGGGTGAGGTCCCCCACACACGGCAGCAGTAGGGAGGTGGGCTGCACCGAGCTCCCTTCAGGACACACAGTGGCGCTGCCTGACCTGATGCAGGGTCCAGCCTCTCTCATTCCTTCATGGGTTACAGATGGACCTGGGCCTTCAGAGACAGAGGGCACAGGGCTGGTGTCCATGCCGGATGCAGAACAGAATGAACCGAGTCCCCACCCGACCATGGGAAGGGGTCCTGGGTAAGGGCACAGGAGTTGGGTCCGCGAAGGCCTCAGCACCCACCGTGAGCCAGAGCTCAGGAGCACTCAGGGGGGCCAGTCCAGGATGTCCACCTCTGGTACTGCTCCACCCTTGGGGACCTGCTGTCACCAGTACCCAGATAGCGAACTAGCAAAAGGACCCTGAGAGCAAGGGAGGTGTGGGGCCAGGAGTAGGGTGTGGAGATGAGGGCGGGGGCTAGAATGTTATGAGGGAGGAAGGAGAGAGTCTCCACGAGAAGGTGAGATCAAAACTAAGTCCTGGGGAAAGATGGTGCTTGGGGCCTGCAGTTGAGGCCTGAGGGCCTGAGGCAGGGCCAGCCCTCATAGAGGCCCTGAGGCAGGAGCAACAGTGGCCCATGTTGTCTAGGCTGGAACAGATTCCAAGCATGTACTGCTACTACAAAAATTTAATTTTCCTAGACTAGCAGATGGTGTGGTGGTAGAGGTGTTGGACACTCCCATATGGCCAACAACGGGTTCAAGCCCTGGACTTGGCGGCTTGCTTTCTCACTTTCTCTCTTCCCCTCTGTCTCTCTCTGGTCAAATTAAAATAAATGAATAAGTAAATAAAATTAAATGAATAGTTAAAAAAAAAGAAAAAGAATTTCTTTTTCTTCTTTTTTTGGAGAGGTTTTTTGCTATAGGGCGCGTGTACTTGCCAGACAGAGACAAAGAGCCAGAAAGCAAGAAATCACCCCCTAGCGCCTAGGGGGGATAGCCATGGCACAATCCCTTCTCCTCCATTCTCCTCTCGGGATCTTGGGCACGCACGCACACGCGCCCGGCGTGAGTTTAAGCCACTGGGTCCGGGACTCGAACCGCAGTTGACTACATGGGAGTCCAGCGACATGGCCATTAAACTAACTGCTGGTCCCAAGAATTTCTTTTTCTTAAGGGGAAAGGTAATGGTGGTTAAGGGTGCAGAATCTCACATGGCTGGCCGCAGTTCAAGTCCTGGACCTGGTGGCTTGCATTCTCACTTTCCTTCTCCCTCTCTCTCTCTCTCTCTCTCTTTCTCTCACTTACTACTCAAATTAAAATAAACAAATAAACAAACATAAATTTAAAAACTAATAATGACAGCCAGCAGGTGGCATGGTGGTTAAGGGCATTGGACTCCCATATGGCCAATAGCGGTTCGAATCCTGGACCTGGCAACTTACTTTCTCTTTCCCCTTACCTCTCTTCCTCTGTTCTTCTCTGGTCAAATAAAATAAATAAATAAATAAATAAATTAAAAACATTAGTCTGTAAAATAATAATAATAATAATAAAATATTTCTTTAAAAAAATACCAGCTTGCGTCCAGCAGGTGGCACGGTGGTTAAAGACACTGGAATCCCAGATGGCCAAGTGTGGTTTCGATCTCGGACCTGGCGGCTTGCTTTCTCGCTTTCCCTTTCTCTCTATCTCTGTCTCTCTCTGGTCAAATTGAAGAAATGAAAATAACGAATGGAATTAAATAAATAAATAAATATTTTTAAAAAATATATATACTGGCTTAAAAAAATTCTTTTTCATTATTTTAGAAATTTTTGCTATAGGGCACATGCACTCGCCAGAGTGAGACAGTTAGAAAGCAAGTAATCACCCCTATGGGGGAAGGTCACATTGCAATCCCTTCTCCATTCTCCTCTTGGGATTTTGGGCATGCACGCACATGCACAAGGCGTAACTTTTAAGCTAGTGGGTCCGGAACTCAAACCATGGTCATCCACGTGGAGTCTAGAGACATAAACATTACACCATCTGCTGGTCCCTGCTACAAGAATTTCAGTGCGGGACTTCGAACTCCCTACAAGACCAAGGAGCTGAATGGAAGCTGTGAGCGCTCAGGCCAAGGCAGGCTGCACAGGCCTCCTCTCTAGGAAGACCCACCGCATGTGACAGAGCTCAGTGGCAG